TTCAGTACTTAACCATAGTATTTGTTAATTTCTTTTGTGAGTCTTGATAAAGTTCTCAAGGTGCTTTTCAACTTCATCGTTCTCCATATCCAACATTTTATTCAGATGTAGCAAAGAGTGTTCTGTCCTATTTCAAGATCACTCCAGTTTTATACTAACAGCGAATATAAGACCTGGAGCAATGTGTAGTTGAAATAAAAAGCTTCTGCATTTTTTCCCCTTAGTGTTTTTTTATCTCTAAGATTTGTAAGGATTAGTTCTTTGTTCCTTGTTTTGAATGCATACTAAACCAAAGTAGACAATAGAGTTTCACAGTTGACTTTGGCATTCTAGCCGTTTTCGCTATAACGGGAGCCGACTGTACTTCAGAATAACTTTTTATTTTCTCTTCCAGAATTTTTTTACATGTACATTGTGTAATCCGTCGTTAAGGTTTTGCTCATATCTAGGTTACTTAAAAAAAAGTGAAATGGCACTCTGCACTTTTTACATGTAGAGTTTTACAGCTCATAAAAGATCACAGACATAACGTAACGCTTGAATTATCTATAACTGAATAAAATTAGATGCAGATCAAAAAATGACACAAAATCTTTCAGGTCGTTCACTACATTTTGCTTACAACATATTTATTTATATCTCACATATAGAAACTTGACACAAGCTGTAGATTTGGTGTTTGGATAATCAAGAAAGACATTTAAAATACAGATACAAATAGTCACTGCATCAACAAAGATTTGAAACCATGGAATTCCTACACTCTCTTGTTTGAAATTGAAAGTGTACTTAGACTTCTGCTATCAAATGTTATACTAGGAAAGTACCCATGAACTTTTCTTTTTGTTCTTGGCCCAAACTGATGACCAGCTTTGCCAACAGATTGGCTCCCGTCCGTACATTATTGATACTGATTGTGGGGGGGGGGGGGGGGAGACCAGCCTATCCAGCAAGAACAGAAATAATGTTTGGCAGCCAATAATTTGGAATTGTAAAGTAATAATTCAATAACTGAACGTGAGCTTTTCTGTGTTTGGTGTTTCATTCAAAAGTGAATAACTTTTGTATTGCTTGAAAAATAGCAGATTGGTAAAGAAATCTGTTTTTCGGGATGAAACTCGAAAATAGCACGGAACTTTAAGTAAATTTAGTACCTCGTCCGGCATTTGTTGAGTAAAACTGTTATGTGGACAGTTTTCCTTGTTTTTTTTCCTAGAAGGTACAGCATTAAAGGTTGCATGTCTGTGTAGAGTGTGTGTGATTCACAGTTTCAGATGATTCTTGTTTTATCTGATAAACTGTCTAAGTTGAACACATTACCCTCATTGTTTCAAGCGTAAACTTTAATTTGCAATGCACCACCAGAACTATGAACTGAAGTTATGAGAATGGTAGAAAGATGACAAGTTCCACACACAATTCATTACCCTTTGGAGATACGGTGGACACAATACGAGGGCGCTATTTGGTCTGGGTCTAGTCTTTTGCATAAGTTACCCCAATATACCCAAATCAAATAACACCCTTGTATTGTGTCTGCCATATATCGCAAAAGGCTTATAGCAGTTGAGCTATTCACTTTTTCCAAAATTTGTTAAGACTCTGGAATACTGAATGTGCTTTTCACATCTTTTCCCAATCTACAGGTTAAACAACATGGTGACTCCACTGTGGAACCAGCCGTATGAGGACCAGCTATCCACCAAATAGACCAACACCAGGGAGTTTCTGAGGAATTTATCCAAGATGCTGTAACGGAAAATTGTGGAGATGTCTCCCTGGCTGAAGCAACAAAGGTGAGCTACCCGCCAAAGACATGGGGTGATTGTGGGCCAGAATGGAAATGTGATCTTCGTTGACAAAAAACTGTTTCCAGACACAGTTTTCTGGCAAGTGGACTTACATGTACAGCTGCCCTGAAATTTCATTAAAAGTCCAGAAAATGATGCCTCATTTTTCTTGAGAATCAATTAAAACTCAGCAAACTTTGGGCCAACTTCTGAAATAAACTTCCTTTCCACACACAAAAGTCCCAAAGATTAAAAGGGGGTGGGGAAGTTGGTAAAAAAAAATGTTTACAAACAAAAAGCAGAAAAATGAACACAAAACCAAAACTTCACAATTCATAAGCTGCTCAAATGAGACTCGCACCAACAATCTCCTGCTTCCTAGTGCAGATGTCTCGACTACTTGACCACCAGGCTTGCTGGGGTTGGCTGGCGGGCCCCAATCTGATATAGCAGGTGCCACAATCAATGAGTTTAATTGATTGTTTACGTAGGGGAGTTGTGAATGTGAATACCTGGTTTTGACCTTCACCAATGTAAATTTGAATGCACTGTATATTCAATGCTGTCTGAGAGCTTACGAGCAAAGATTCTGCAAGCTTGCTTGGGTGGGATATGAACCCATGACCTCCTGCTTACTAGTGCAGACATCTTAACCACTCAATAACAGAGCTTGCAAAGGTTAGTGGGCCAGTTTGAATCTTGTGCATATATAGCTTTGGTTACCACAAGAAATTCACAAGCCTGTTGGAGTGGGATTCGAACCCACACCCTCATGTTTAATAGTGCACTCTTCATTTGATTGACAGGAAGAACCACAGTGGGATGGCATGTGAGTTGGAGCCAATTAAGCCATCGGTGAGTAAGCTAGGTGACAAATATTTGTTGATAGAAATATAGATTTTATTTAAATTTATTTGTAGTATTGTGAATGATTTTATGAATTATAATCTCAATGATAGTTCACATTGGCACATAGTGTTAGGTTAGCTTGACTGGTGTGATCTTTGAACTCGGGTAGCTAGATAGAGTCACCTTACTTGTACTAAATTTATATTTCAACCTGGATTTCTTGTTAGATAAACTATACAGCATGTGAATCTTTTGAAGGGTAAAAATTCCTGACATTGGAGATGTCTGATTTGTTCCTTTCATTTTCATTGTTTGTTTGCACATTACAGCCAGTATTAGAGAGTTATTGCAACAAGTGTGAGTTTACCATCGGCAAGAGTGTAGATGGCATCGGTGAGTGCAACTGGCATTTATTTTTATTTATGCAATCTCTTCATTTTGTGTGTGTATGCGCTCCGTTCACAAGTACCCCCTCGCCTGGATATAAAGTGTGCACACATGTACATAATGCGCCTGTTATGAAAACCGCCTGTTATGAAAACCGCAACAGAAAGTTTCGGGAATTTTTTTCTCAGTTATTCCCCTAATTTCTCGTCAGGTCTTCATGAAACTTGGCCCTGGATAAATTGTGCAAAAGTTTCAGTATCATGTCTTCTTATTTTCATTGGCTTGGCGCTTACAAAAGTAAGTATTTTCACAGAGGTTTCCATTTTGCAAAAGCCGTAGATCAGCGTTCATGTTTGATTGGATCGGCTGTCGAGGGGCGTGGCCTATTAGTAGCTAATGCTGATCAATTCTAACCAATCAGAATGCAAAACACAGAAAGATTGACAGGTGTACATATTGTGCATTGTCTATTATGTCTGTCAGGAATTAATTATTGAAAAGAAAGAAACAAGTCACAAAAGACTTAAACCCTTGTCATCCCCTTTGCTGACCAATATGTTGGCTTACTTTTGTGGCATGAATATTGAGGGTATAGGCCTATGTTTGTACTTTCAACATTGACCAGCAAGCTCTTTTACTCAGTAGGGATTTTTCAACAATTACATTTGTACAAGCAAGAATTAGGTTTTCAATACAAAATTCAGGAAAATCACTGTTTATTTAAATGTTGCTAGTGTACACTTTTGTGTATTTTATCACTGATCTTGCTTTACACGCAAATTTGTTTGTCCTATAGAAAAGTGTGTGACTTTTAGAAACATGGTTTGCCCTGCAATTTTTTTTTCTCGAATATTACTAGGTAGCAGAAAGACTTAAGAGCTCAAACACCGATTTGGTACATTTCTGTATTATTTGTGTTTAGAGTTTTAAATTACACAAGGAAAAAGCAGCTTTAATGAACATATGAAAAGCAGCAATTCCTCGGATACCGTGCAAATTAAGATACATCTTGTATGATGCTAACTTTACAACAACATTCATATTTTACAGCATTCATTTTTCAGTTACCCAAATTCAAAGTACCCTTGAGTCCATCTAAAAGAAATATTAGAATATTGCTTTGCAGTTGAACATCATACAGACATAGAGCTCATAATGTAATACAACAGACTAGTGGTGCTACACAGATTATGTACAATAATAGAGCATGCAAATCTCGCCAGTTCACATTCACTTTTCATGTGAACATCTTGGTACCAAACACTGACTAGTCTAGCCACAGACTCCCGTGTTTGAATTCACCCAGTGAACGGAAGTGGAGGTCCACATTTCTTCAATTTACTATAGTAATCAACTTGCAATATTTTTTGAATGTGTTGTAAATTGGAATGATTTTTTTCTTGTTCAGAACCCATTCTTTGCCCTTGACTGGATAAACCTAGTAAAATCACCTAGGTTTTTGAGGTCAACTTGCACGCTCTATTGACAGAAGTGAGGAAGACATTGCTGACTTTAACTATCAACTACATTTTTTTCCAGCTAGTAGCTGTGTAGACACCTTTAATACACCAGACTTAAATCCCATACTGTACATCTAAAGCCTACAATGGTCTCGTGTATTATATATCTGTGTTCTGCAGCAAAAAAAGTCTATACAATGCATTTCTCCTTGCTAAAGGGTTTTTTAAGAAACTTCGAACAAAAATTCTGCACTTTATATGGTTTTCAAAAAATATTTTCCACGTTGTGCTACATGTATGCACAAAGATTGGTGTAATGTATTTGGAATCAGATGCTCCTAATGCATAACTTGCAACTTTGTTGATCTGTTACTTAGGCTGTGTCTGAAACGGGCTTCTAGAGCTATGGCTACGGCTATTGTCAGATTGTTCCCATGTAATTGTTTTGGGTGAAGACCTAGACAATATAGCTCTAGCCATATCAATTTTTTTAATCTGTTCATTTGTGCATCAGGTCTTGACCCACAAGATAACCATTCCACCAGCACCTCTGACGTACCGGTGACTGGTGCTGCCATAACGGATCCTTATCACTATCTGACACAACAGCACTTCACCTCAGAGATCTTCAAGATTGAGATCCAAAATCTCCCAAGACACTTTGGATTTGCGGTGAGTTTGCTCCCTTAACATTGGACCCTGAATAACAATAACCATACAGTTTGTGCCTTTTTATAGGAGTATGTATGTATTGTGCTCCATGCTTGGGATTTGTCAAGGTCTGTTAAAGCTACAGTCCATCATTTGTAATTTATGCATTTTGTTCGTTTGAAGCAACAAAAGAGTTCAAAATCTAATGAAGGATACTGAGCAACTAACCTGATGAAGTTTCAGCTAAGCTTCAGCTGTACATTCCGAGAAAAACAGCATTCAAAGATCTCAATTTCAAATCAAAAGTTACTGAATCATGTTTTGAATTGTTTTGAATTGCAGCTGTATGCGACGTCGCGCACTGATCCGACGAATTATAACAACCCTGCGCGCGTGTGCGTCGTTCCAATACTTGTGCGCGCTGCGCTGAATAACAAAACGAACTACTAATTTAAATTTTCCTACGGTGCTTCTTAAGAATCACCGTTGGAAATGCCTTCTTTCGTTGATTACTTCAAAATAACAGCTTCCCAGAAAGAATAATTTCACAGGGAGTTTAGCTCCCTTACTATCTTTCAACCAAGTTTGTTTTTTAACAATAATTTACTTTTCGGATGGCTGCAAATGATGGACTCTAGCTTTAATAACAGCATCAAAAGGCTGTAAAGTGAATTTCACTAAAACATGAAATATCCCAGCCCTGTGTTTGTATGAAAGTAATGACCACATTTTACGCACACTTTTTTGCAATGCCCGTGCACATGTTCACAATTGTTTCTAATGTTGCTGTGATATTGATTTAGGTATTTTACACTTCACAGCTTTGGGATTTTCTGTATAATTTATGAACCTAAAATTAATTGCATTGTACATGTGTAAAAGTTTGTACATTTAAGTATCTCATTGGCTGCATGCTATGTGCTAATTAACGCAACAGTCACATCAAACTTGATCAAAAGACAAAACACTTTTGTTAACATTCCTTTCCCCTCAAACAGCAGTGACACTGAAGTTCCAGCTCATGACATCGCTGTATTGCTCATGAATATGGAATATTTTAAAGCCTGAAACATCCAAAGACTTGGAATATAGTTCCTGAAATTAAAACCTCAAAATCTGTTTAAAGGCACTTTAAAAAAAACTTTATTTACAGTGAACAATTTCAGGGTTATCCATATGTTAGTACCAATACATGTACATTGTCACACTGAAAAAAGTAACAAACAAGCTCATTAAAAGGAAGGGTAGATCATTTGTCATTTGTGCATTTTTTTTTTCATTTGAAGCTACAAAAGTGCTCAAAATCTAAAAACGGGTGCTTAACAACTAACATGATGAAGTTTTAGCTCTGTGAATGCAGTATTCCAAACATATACTCTAGGATCTCAGGTTCAATTCAAAAGTTGCTGAGTCATGTTTTATATTGCGTCCGAATTCAGCCCCAGGGACACATTCTCATTCAGTCAATTGCAGCTACGCGATGTCATGCACTGAACTGACGAATAATGGCAACCTAGTGTGCGTGTTCGTCGTGTCAACGCTTGCGCGCACATATTCATGGATTCACCGAATTTACAAACCAACTACGTGAACTAACTTGATGCATCGTTGGAAATGGCTTTCTTTCATTGTTTCCTTCAAAATGACAGCATGTCAGAAAGAATGATTTCACAGGGAGTTTAGTGCCATTAAAACCAAAAGCCTTTTAACAATAATTTTGTCAGTTACTTTTTGGATAGCTGCAAATGATCTACTCTACCTTTAATTACGAACAAAAGTTTGATTCAAATAATTAAACTATTTGGGATTTGTTAATTTCTGAACCTTTTACATACATACATTGCATGAATACCAGCTGTTCCCTTTACTGATAGTTGGTTGCAATCTGCTCTGGGCGGGCCTCAGCCCTGCACATTACTGATGTCATGGTGCGTACATGTATTGGCAATTCGCTGAAGTAAAACACATTTCAACTCCAGCATATTGTGTTGTTAATGTTTCTCGATGTCAAATCTACTTAATTGGCATTCCAATGAAGAAGATGTATGAAACGGCCTTAAATCTACTCTACACTTTGAACGCAGCAAGTTCAAAAGCAGCACTCACTCTACACACTGCTGCCCTTAAAGACAGCTTGCACTTATCAGGTACCAGTGAACATTGTTCTTGACAACTTTCCAAAGATTAAATCCCTTCTGGTTCTGGATGTGCATACTGCTGCCCTTGTGCTGATGGCTCGGTGCCAGTCAGCCCAGGACATTGTTCCTGAGTACCTGCAAGTGACTGCTGGCTCTCTGCTGGTTCTGGATGTTCACACTGTTCCCCTTGCATGGATAGCTTGCAGTCAGTCAGACTAGAGCATTGTTCCTGATGGGAACTTGCAAGGGCTGGGGTCCCTGCTGGTTCTGCATGTACCTCAACATGCACTTGAACATGCTGCTGACTGTGCATGGATGCCTTGCTGCTGCTTTGCCTGGAACATTGTTCTTGACAGCTGTCCAGTGACTGCTGACTCGCTGTTTGTTGTGCATGCCCTTGGCTTGGTGGCTTGCTGCTGCTTGGCCTGGCAGCATGGTGCTCTTGGTCATTTTCTGCCTGTGGAATCACACAAAGCTCAATCTGCTTCCCTGGCTGCGATGGTCGGCTGGGATTCCGTCTTGGGCAGCAACGACAGCACAGTTTGAGGAATGAGAAAGCCTTGACTACAGCTTCACGATAGTCAACGTTTGTGGCACTGTAGACCAGGGAATTTATTGAGCTATTGATCAGTTGCAAAATTTCAATGCATATAGTCAGAATATGTATTGTCTCTCCAAGTTCCAGATTGGCAACAATCTCAGCAGGTGAAGTATAATTGGATGACACTACACGTGCATGTATTGCCATAATTGCAGTTGCAACAGTCAGTGAGTTCAGAATGAAGAAAACAGCAGTGTTGATGATAACCATGCAGAGGACCTTGCCTGCTTGCTTGGGACGGTTCGGGAACAGGGCTGATTGCTTGCATACTTTCCATACTACATAGATGTACAAAGCAAGAGTTGCTATCGAAGAGACAATGTTGATAATGGAAAGAATCCAAAAGTAGACTTTATCGAAGACAGCTTCTGTTAATGGTACGAAAATCAGAATCACACCAACAATAATTGTTGGCACCCAAAGTCCTGCTGATATCTTTGCTGCTCGAGATTTAGAGGCCTTTTCTTTGAAAGTTATAGGATTGCGCACTGCAGAGAATCTCTCAGCTGCTATGGTAACCACAAAGAAATTAGAAGTAGCGATGAACGTGCATTGGCCACTTGATATTGCATTGTTGACCAACAAGTTGTACTCTGTAGGTGAAGACAGTGCAAATATGAAGTAATTCATAAGGTAGAGGGAGTCAGCCACAGCCAGATTGGATAAGTAGATGTTGATGATTGTACGCATGGACTTCACTCGAATGACTGTGAAGAGAAAGACAAAGTTTAAGCAGAGGCCGATTGGTGCAATGATTTCAGCACTTAACCATGTTATTTGTTTAGTTCTTTCTCCACTCATGTAAAAGTTCTCACGATGCTTTTCAACTTCAGTTTTCCACCCAGTTGATGGAGTGGAGCTGTTTTGGTAGCCATCACCCATAGTTCATGCACAATGTAGCATTGAGCTCCGTGAGCCACATGTTGTTCAGATGCAGCAAAGAATGTTCTTCTCTATTTCAAGATCACTCCAGATTTATACTTACAGGGATTGTAAGACCTTGAGCAAAGTGTAATTGAAACAGAAAGTTTCTTGTTCTTTTCCTTCTTTTTCCCCCAACATTTCTGTCCGATTTTAATGCATGTGACTATCTTGTGGTATCAGTTCCTGTAACCAAAGCAGATGCATGTGAGTCAGTTTCACTACTTGCACTGACATGGAATCTGAGAATTAAATTTGTTTCAGTTTTAATGATTGGCTCCAGATTAAACATGCGTATTGTGTACATGTAATTGTTTTTTTATACAAGTCGTTCCTTCACAAGGCATAAATGCCACTCAATGTGAGGGCTACCGCACAAGAAGAAAAGACAGAAAAAGAAAGAGGATGATAGAAAATGAAGACAATTAAGTTTAGTGTGTATGAGAGATGCATGTTCACATTGCGTTATACAGGGTGATTAAAATAAAAAGTGACCCGCCCTCAAGATTTTTTTTCTTACAAGGAATGCGATAATATTGAAAGCTAAATGAGCTAAGTGAGAATTACAGATTACACACAAGTATTCAAATACAAATGAGATTTTAATAATTGAAATCAAGAGAATTTTTACTATCAAGTTGTGTGTTTTGAATATGAGAAGCAAGTTAACTCTCTTTTTTCTTCGAAATATCGATGGTGATTTTTGTATCTTTTCCTTTGCAAGTTCTCGTTCATTCATGGAGGTGGGAAAACAATTGATGTTTCATTATCCGCATTGGGAGATGTATTATCAGTTCGCAACACGGTAATTGATAAGTGGTGGACAGCCAAGTTTTGTGATCATTTTATTGAAATAGACATGAATTGGGAATAGAGTTTGCAATTTAAGTGAAATTTTCACAGTTAATGCAGACTTGTATTCGAGTCACGAAACATCGAATCCCAGTCCGAGTCCAAGTCACATTTCTCGAGTCTAAGTCCGAGTCCTGAGTCCTCCAGGTCAAGTCCGAGTCAGAGAGTCACAAAGCTTGAGTCCAAGTCCAAGTCACGAGTCACCTCTTTGTATCAAAAAACGTACATTTTAGGGAATTCAGAGATTCAGAGTCACCTTTGGTATAGTATCGAAATACATACATTTCAGGTGCTGTAAATTTTCATTTTTCCCCACAGCTTTTCTCTAATTTTCTTACAAAATGAGGAGTTCATTTGCAAAAACAGTTATAAAGGCAATTCAGACAAAACTGGTATTGGCCT